CCATATTTTGCAAGGATATTATTCAGCAATTTGTTGCAGAAGTGTGATCCTCCGTCACTTATCAACACGCGTGGAGTTCCAAAGTGTGTGAAGATGTGCTTCTTTACAAAACTCACCACTACCTTAGCATCATTTGTGGGAAGAGCAATGGCCTCCACCCACTTAGACACATAATCAACTGCCACCAAGATGTACCTGTGCCCATTAAAGTATGGGAATGGTCCCATGAAGTCGATTCCCCACACATCAAATAGCTCTACTGCCAGAATATTCTGCAAAGGCATCTCATGCCTCTTGGTGATTGTTCCGGTTCTTTGGCATCTATCACACATTTTAACAAAGGCATGTGCATCCTTAAACAATTTGGGCCAATAGAAACCTGATTGTAGAACTTTCTAGGCGGTCCTATCTCCCCCGTGATGTCCTCCGTATGGTGACGCGTGACAGTCATGCAATATTGCATTCATCTCTTCTTCTGGAACACATCTTCGCACCAACTGATCTGCGCATAGCCGGTATAAGAATGGCTCATCCCACATATAAAACCTCACATCATGTAGAAACCTTCTTCTATTATTAGGTGTCAATTTCGGTGATGTCACCCCACTTGCAATGAAATTCACATAATCTGCATACCATGGGGCTTCATTTGAGGTGATTGCCAATAACTGCTCATCAGGAAATGTTTCCTTGATAGACCCACCTTCAGCTACATGGCTCCGATTTTCTAACCTGGACAAGTGATCAGCCACTTGGTTCTCTGTCCCTTTTCGATCTCGGATTTCTAAGTCAAACTCTTGCAAGAGGAGGACCCAACGAATCAGTCTCGGCTTGGCGTCTTTCTTCTCAAACAAGTATCTGATAGCTGAATGATCTGTGTAGACGATGACTTTGGTCCCCACTAAATATGATCTGAACTTGTCAAACGCCCACACCACTGCAAGCAACTCTTTTTCAGTAACTGTGTAATTCATCTGGGCTGGATTCAGAGTTTTGCTCGCATAGTAGATGGAGTGAAAGATTTTATTTCTCCTTTGCCCCAAAACAGCTCCAATAGCTATGTCACTCGCATCACACATCAACTCAAAGGGTTGCTCCCAATCCGGGGCAATGATAATTGGTGCAGTCACTAGCCTTCCCTTCAGCTCCTCAAATGCTTTCAGACAGGCATCATCGAACTTGAAGGAGACATCTTTCTCAAGCAACCTGCACAAGGGAGAGGAAATTTTCGAAAAATCTTTAATGAAACGACGATAAAAACCTGCATGGCCCAAGAAACTGCGAATGCCTTTGACGGACGTTGGTGGGGGCGATTTTTCAATCGCTTCCACCTTTGCTTTGTCCACCTGCAAGCCCCAATACTATACCTTCACGTACCATGAAGTGGCACTTTTCCCAGTTTAGCACCAGGTTTGTCTCTTCACATCTAGCAAGTACTTTATCGAGATTCATTAAGCAGTTATCGAAAGAGCACCCAAACCCAGAAAAATCATCCATGAACACTTCTACAAATCTTTCAGCCATATCAGTAAAAATAGCCATCATACACCTTTGAAAAGTCGCAGGTGCATTACAGAGACCAAAGGGCATTCTCTTGAACGCATACGTGCCATATGGACACGTAAATGTGGTTTTCTCTTGGTCCTCTGGGGCTATAGCAATCGGATTATACCCGGAGTAACCATCTAGGAAATAGTAGTATTCCTGGCCAGCTAATCTATCAAGCATTTGGTCAATAAAGGGGAGAGGGAAGTGGTCCTTTCGGGTGGCATTATTCAATTTTTGGTAATCTATACAAATCCTCCACCCAGTGACAGTTCTTGTGGGAATCAAATCATTATTTTCATTAACAACCACAGTCATCCCCCCTTCTTAGGCACACATTGAACGGGGCTTACCCATTTGCTATCTGAGATTGGAAATACAATACCTACGTCAAGCCACTTAATCACTTCTTTTCTTACCACTTCTTTCATCATTGGATTGAGTCGGCATTGTTGCTCTACACTGGGCTTATGTCCGTCCTCCATGAGGATTTTATGCATGCAAAAAGCTGGACTAATGCCTTTGATGTCAGACATCGTCCACCCAAGTGCTCGCTTGTGCTCACGTAGCACTCTCAACAGCTTCTCTTCCTGCAATTTAGACAAGTCAGAAGAAACAATAACAGGTAAAGTGTCAGAGTCACCCAAATAAGCATATTGAAGGTGAGGTGGGAGAGGTTTAAGCTCCAGTTTTGGGGCTTCCTCAATGGACGACTTTGGAGGAGGTCCTTCTGGCCTATTCAAAGGCTCAAAGGGGTGTATCCCTTGCATGTGCGCACAAGATGTATCTAAGATGTGCATCATCTCCTCAACCTCATCATCACTCCCTAGGCTATCAAACAACATAAGTGCTTTCTCTAGAGAATCGTCTAGATATACACTTGGGTCATGAATTTGCTCATCAGCCTCAACAACAGATATCATTGAGAGCTCCTCATAGTGGCGGGGAAGTTGGATTGCTTTGTACACATTAAAGACTGCTTCCTCATCATCCACCCTCAAAATCTTTTTTCCGTCTCTCACTTTAATGATTGCATCGCCAGTAGCCAAGAGAGGTTGCCCCAATATGATTGGGACCAGTTCGTCAGCCTCATAATCCAGGATTATGAAGTCAGCTGGGAAGATAAATTTTCCAATTTGCAGCAACACATCTTCAATCACACCCTCGGGGTGTGCTATTGATCTATCAGCAACACATCTTCAATCACACCCTCGGGGTGTGCTATTGATCTATCAGCCAGCTGCAACATCACAGTAGTTGGCCTTGGAGCTCTCAAGCCTAATTGCTTGAACAAAGATAAGGCCATCAGATTTATACTCGCCCCCAAATCGCAAAGAGCACGACCCACATCAATATTACCAATGCGCACCGGAATGGTGAAACTGCCAAGATCCTTAAGCTTTTGAGGAAGCTTGTTCTGGACCCTTGAGGTGCACTCCTCAGTAAGTGCCATTGTCTCAAATTCATTCAATCTTCTCTTGTGAGCCACTATATCCTTTATGTACTTAGCATACTTTGGAATTTCACGCAGTACATCAACAAGTGGACTATTTAATTAAACCTGGCTCAACATGGAGAGAAATTTGTTGAACATACGATCATCATTCTTTTTTTGTAATCTCTGTGGGAAAGGTGGTGGTGGACTTGTAGCCTCCACTGGCTTTGGAATTGCATCAGTATTCTTCGATTCATGAGTTTCCTTCGGTATCAACTCCCCCTCGGGTGTGGCTTTGTCTTTTCTTTTCTTTGGCACTTCCTCCAGCTTTCTCCCGTTTCTGAGTGTAACTGCATTCACTTGAGGATTCTTTTCTGTATCACTGGGGAGAGCGCCTGCAGGTCTGGTGTTTTGATTCGTTGCCAACTGCCCCATCTGCCTTTCAAGATTTCTGAAATCGGTTCTGAGCTGCTGATTGTCAATCAACAACTTCTTTAGCAAATCATTTGTATTCTCTTCCATTTGTTGGGGTGGCTTCTGAGGTGGATTGAAATTCCCTTGGGGTCTATAGTTATTCTGATTCTGCTGAGTTCCACCCCATGAGAAGTTGGGATAATTCCTCCGATTTGGATTGTAAGAATTCTCATATTGTGCATGCTGATTCGGTGGACCTCTATTCTGCTGCCCCACATAGTATATGGATTCAGGATTAGTAGGGCACATGTCGCTCATATCATTGTCACCACATAATTCGCAGCAAATAGCCATTTGTTGTACATGTTGCATTGGTTGTGGTTGCTGCATTGTCATCCTAGTCATCTGATTAGCCAACTTTGCAATATCGGCTCTCATGGCTGTCAAGTCGTCGAGCTCAAGTACTCCAGCTGATTTCTGCTTAATTGCCTTTCGTGAATCACCCTCACCTTGCCAATTATGATCATTAGCAGTGAAGTTATTTAGCAAGATTTGGATTTCACTGTACGGTTTGGCCATGCAACTACCCCCACAAGCTGAATCAAGATTCATCTTTGATGCATCATCTAACCCATCTACAAAAGTGTGACCCAATACCTCGTCCGTCTGACAATGATGTGGGGACAGTCTCTAAGCATCTTCTTGTACCTTTCCCATGCTTGACGAAGTGTCTCGCCAGCTCGTTGTTCGAACCCAAGAATTTGACTCCTCAATATCTTTGTTTTTTTAGTGGGGAAAAACTTGATTAAGAATTTCCGTGTCAGATCATCCCAAGTGCGGATTGAATTCGCTGGCTCCTTATTCAACCACTCCTTAGCTTCCCCGATCAGTGAAAAAGGGAAAAGTGTCAGCCTGACATAGTCCTTGGAAACGTTCGGATAATTATAAGTATCCGTAATTTCCAAGAAATTCTGAATGTGCCTCTGCGGGTCTTCATGAGGTAAACCCACAAATTGCCATGTGGACTGGATCAGCTGCACCATGTATTGTTTGAGTTCAAAGTGCCCAGTGATATCAGGCTTCACAATAGCCTGAGTCATATTAGCCAGACTGGGCCTTGCGGCTTCAATCACCGCGCGTTCCTCATTACCTGCCATCTCAATTGGATGTGGTTGAACTACGATGTCCAACTCTCTTTCAATTCTGGTTCTATCGTCCACCTCCCTCCTCACTCTGTGAAGTGTTCGTTCAATTTCGGGATCAAGAGGAAGGAGGTTGTTTGCGCTTCTCTCCTCCGCATTCAAAGAAAATCCTGTATTAGCACAAACAAAGTGAACTGAAAATTAAAACTTGAATAAATAAATAATAAAAGCTCAATTCAGTCAAGTAGCTAATTTCTAAGTCCCCG